TGAAAGCAATATTATTATGAATTGATGGTGGTATAAGGGAAACTGCTCTCTAGCCCCATTAATTTAAACTTGGAGGAAGGTAATCAAAAGGAAATGCAGTAGAAAAATCTTAGTTTCATTATACATTATTTCAAAGATCTGCRGAATCATTGCTTGATTTGAATGTTTGTGGATTGCTCTAGGCTGGCATTTATTATTGTCACTTAAGAATTCCCAAGATATCCTTCATAAAACCCACTATATTTTAACTCATTTTATTTTTCTCACCTTCTCCCTCTCACTGTTCTCAAGCTTGCACACTGTACTGCAACACTGTAAAAGGTGCAACAATTTACATAATAGAGTAGCAAGTGTGCTTGTCCTTCTAGAACATATTCTACTGCAGCACAAGTACCTTGTAGTGTAGAAATTGCCATAGTAACTACTCATTTCTTATTGATTAGATGGATAAAAATTCTTATAATATACAAGCAGAGTAACTTGCTGGCATATGGCTTCAGGCTACCCCTGTGGCAAATCTTACTTATGCATTCTCTCCTTTTTCTGCATGTAAGAGGTTTTTTTAATGAATTAGTATTCCTTGGATTAGACCACAAAATATTTTTTTTTCTTTTCTGCCAGAATGGTGGTTAAATTTTAAGTTCAACTTGATATGCAGCTCCTAAGGCACAATGTTAACTTGTATTGTTTTTTTTTTACTGGATTAGGACAACTAGATTTCACCTCCATGTGAAATCTGGATGGAAAAAAGGAGAAGAAGAAAGCCACCTCCCAGAGTGAGGGAGAACTCAAACTGCTTCAGAGCTGAGCTCTAATGAGTAAATTAGAGTATTTTAGTTTGGCAGTTGTGATAAATCTTTTTGGAAAATGCTTTTTTAATGTTCTAATTTGACAAATTGAGCCCTGTTTTTACGTTGCTCTATCCATACTCCAGCCATTGCACTGCTCTTTAGCAGTGGCATTGTGAATGCTTACTGAAGGCAGGATTAGGTCTGCAGTGATTTACAATGTCTGACAGCTGTCTGGGTTCATGTGCTGCGGGTCCTGAGCACACTATTGTCTCTTGCAATCCTGAAAGATGCTCCAACAAGGCTTCGACCAAGTTTGTTGTGAAAGACAAGCTTTTTGTGAATTCTATCAGGAGACTGAAATTGTGAAGCACTTAGGTGGGATGTCAGATGAAATTAAGCCAAACTCATTCTTTAAATGTGAAGCATCTGTTTATTCAGAATAATATAAAATGAAAGAACAGCAACGCTCAACCATTTTTTTCACACTGTAAATTTATCTAATGTTCTTCTGGAGTCTTCTGTGAAGCCTAGGTGTTAGTTGTGATTATACTTGTTCTGTAAGTTTATTTTAGGGTATTAGTTAGATGTACAGGAGACTGAAGATTTTGGGACAATTTTTAGTTCAGTTCCTTCAAGCTGCTATTACAGATGCTACTCATGCAGACCTTCTTTACTTGGCTTGGAGGCCTTTCCCACCTCCCAAAATTAGAAATACTAGGTTAGGGCATCACTTTTATATTGTACTGCCCTTCAACTCCATTAYCTTTACCTACAGCCTGACAGTCTCATTCCAAACTTTGTATGACCTTATGATAGTTGGAAAGAGATAATAATCCATAGGGCCACAGGAAATGATGCTGCTGTTTCAATAAGCGAGTCCTTCACAGAGACACTACTCAGGAAAAGGTCCTTCTGCCTCTAGTAGGCTGCAAACAAATGGAGGAAACGCTTTGGCAGCTGCAGATAGCTTTCATCTTTAACAGGAAGAAATAGGCTTGGCTTTTCTTTATCTTTGGCTTGGATTGTTGTGTGCTTTCGTAAAGACTTTCACAGGCAGCAGTGGGAGGTGYGGTGTTTAGCATGTTTTGTCTATGTGCTGAGATCTGGAAGGTGGGCCCAGAAAGCAGACGGAAATGTGGATGAGCAAAGAGCAGGGTGAGGTAAGAGTTTAGGGTGACAAATSAAGGGATTTTTATAGTTACATCGCTTTCACTCCTATCACTTTTGCCTAATCTGAAGGGGAAAGACCCAAATGAGAACAAATTAGGACCAYTGCACAGAAGATTTTAGGGTCACCTTCAGGACAGACTTTGGATCCCAGGAATTCCTGCCCTAGCAGCTTGCTGGGGTATTGGAGTAGAGTTGGCTGTTGAGAACCCTTCCCTTCCTGGCTCTGAAAGGGCAGGGAGGATTTTGAGAAAACAGCTCATGTGTGCTTATCCCGAATCATTGGTATCTGTTCCATTAGGGCTCTGTGCTGCTGTATTTTCCTTCTGGTGCAATGACCCATCTTGGGCAAACATCTCTGCTACTTTTGCCACTGTGACCCATTTTTGTTGCCTCACCATTACAGATTAGGAATGTTCTGTTTTCTTTCCTCTCACAGGGAAGGAGAGACTTCCTTCCTAATCTAACAGTGTGAAAAARTGGCAAATTGAATCCCAAAACAGAGGGCCAAGGACCCTCCAACCTGCTGCTTTCAAAGCTTGCCTGTTTTTTTTGGACACAGCATCACAGGAACAGCCTTGTGCAGTTTTATGTTGGTGTTATGTTCTAATACTCTCCTAAAAAACTTTATTTTTGAGGGGAAAATAATGGTTTGGTACATTTCATTCAACTGAGGAAGTCTGCATGGAAAGAATAAATTCCAGGGGAACTTTTTTCTAAAATCAGTATATTGTTCAGAGTATGGTATGCTTAGTATTTAAGTTTCAAGATATTTGTAAAGCTTAGGTATTTCTTGTAAGTGTTTTAGAGACATCTGCAGAGTGTCCTTACTGGCAGTCTCACRGATTGTTACAGGAATAAAAGCTGAATATTGGGCATTGCCAGGTGTGTGTGGGTGATATCTAAATACAATACACATATTTGTGTGTGTATTTAAAATGCCTCCAGTGTGCACATATTGAACACATCCTATTGGGGATTGCACTATGACTTGGAGGCAAAGGCTCTGAATAAAGAAGAACCCATCCAGAATAGAGTGGAATTAGCTGCAGTTGCTGTGGGTTTTCAAAGCGATGGCAGCAGTCAGAATCTGGCCTAAGTAATTAACTGAGGAAGCATGGAAAGGAAAGGCAGCATGTGGAAGATATAATTAATAGGAACATATAACAGTCAGCTCTCACATAATAAATTGGCAGCTATGCCTGAGGTAACTGCCTTTTATTTGCAAAATGCTGTTGGAACTTTTTAAAAGTAATTGCACATTTTCTTCCATTTCCACATGGTCAGAGAACATAGTACAGTACAAATACCAACAGGAATGCAATAAAATCATCGCTGTTGTTTGTTGTTTTTCCTGCTCAAGGCTATGATCTTATTTGAGCCAATGTCCAAAGGAAAGGAGGAATACATTTTAGCTTAGGAAAAGACAAGTGCTAAAACATTTTAGTGAGGTTTAATATGGAATAATCTAAAAGGACAAGGCAGGAATAACCAGAATAAATAGCAGTAAATGGGCAGATATTTGTTTGCGTAACACATTTAGCAATGTGCCCTCCTGACTCAAGTAAATGATGGTTAAGATAAATGCTCTGAAATTCTTCCATTTTGGGGGCTTGAATTTTCYCATCTGAAAGTTTACTGCAGAGCAAACGTGACATCTCTGGGTACACCAGATGCTGGCAGATCTTCAAGGGACCCCGTTCTGCCCTTTGCCTGGTGCAGAGCTGTGGAAGGCTGTGGGATGGCACAAGGGCTCCCCACACTCAGCTGCTGCAAAACACAGAGCTGCAGTCCTGCCCCAACATCTGCAAAAGGAAATTGAGGAGGGCTCGCAACTGGGGTTTGCTGCTCTGCCCAAAACATACAAATTATCAGACTTGTTAATTGCCATTTCCAAACCCCTCAGTGAAGAGGGAACTGCATGTCACTCCTGCTGCTACTGGCGTGTATGATTCCCCTCTGTACCCAAGTGGGAATTTATACTACTGCTGGGTCAGTCTGGGTTTTCTTTTGGTTTTAAACAATCTGATTCCCATCACTGGAGTAGTGGGAAGGAAAAGAGAAGTCCAAATCTATTCTGTTGTAAACATGGAGAGGATCTAGCCTATTTTGTCTGAGAGTGAATGGGGATGGGATCTAGTAGTAACCACCTAATAGTGACTTGAGTTCCTCTCACCATAAAGCTAATTAGAAGCTTTACTGCTGTTTAAAATTGAACAGCCTGAAGACCAGGAAATAGAGCTCTCTGTGAAATATTCCTGCTGTAGCCAATCTCTGTACTGCTGATCCCAGGGGATCTTACATTTGCTGCAGGTTGAGTCTAGTAGGCAGTTTGTTGCTGAACRAAGACTTTAAATAGACAGCGAGTTTTAAAAAAGTACATCCTGCAATTTTTGTGCTGATGAATTTAGAATGATGTTCTAGCAAGCTCAGTACACTCCAAATTAATTAGCAGTGATCCTTTTAACAGGATAATTACTATATCAGCGAGTGGTAAGCTCAAAATGAATGTGAGCAGTCCCGGCTTGAATCCACAAGGAAGAGCTGTGTTATGGTTCTACCAACTGATGATAAATTCATCCCAGTGTGAATGGTTTTAGCACAGCTCATCATCAGAACTGTCACTTTTTTACCTCCACACTTGAATTAAAATCCTAGATGAAATTGCATTCCACTCTCCAGATGTCTACCTCAMAACACCATGGCAAATAGTGATTGGCTTTTAAAAATTTCTATTGGATAAAGGCCCAAAATAAGAAAAGGAGGTGTTGTACATTATTACTACTGTATAAATGGTAGAAAGGGTTATGAAGTACATGATGCTTCCTTCTTTCATAATCGAAGGGTCTCATCCTGCATAGAACTGTAAGAACTCATAAACACATGTTCACATCTTGGTGTTTGGACTTTTTAAACAGGTTCATCTTTCAAAGAATAAATGTGTCATTGCTTATCAGGCTSTGGATAAATAAGTATATGACTGCTGCAATGGTGGTAGAAACACTTTTATTCATTCCTGAAACCAGATTCTGTTTTTAGCTGAAACTTTAGAAAATAAGGTTTAATTGGGTGGTTTTAATACGGGAAATTACCTTAATTAGGTCAMTTTATATGCTTTCCTGCTCTCTTTCAGAAGGGATGCAGAAATCTGTAAAAGCACCTGCCATGTTATGTGACAATATAATTTTTAGGCAGACTTTCAAAAATCACTATCTTACTTTCAGCTTCTCTAAGYTAAGTCCAGCAAAGCCAATGGTCTTACACTGATCTCAAGTGTGTCCCCGGGAGAAAYTGGGGCCTATGTTGCTCACTCCAAATGTGAAAGCAGTAAATTATTAATTATTAGCCACTTCTTTAAAATGGATCTTGACCCTCACCAGACCAGACAATGTTTCAGGTTATTTCATGGGACCTTGTGGTGCTTTATGGATCAAGTGCATGACTGAATCCTTTGGCTAAAATTGCCTTGAGCAGCAGTGCCCTCTTCTTCCTAGAGAGATTGTATGCCTGGGTCAGGCCACTTTTAAAATCATACAAAATGGAGACATTAAAAAAAMCTGTCCCAACTGCAAGAACAGTAAAATCAAGAGGAAAAAAATGTATTTGCAAGTATTTTGGTGAGTTTTGGTCAATGTGCGTTCTGTGCGTGTGTGTTTTAACTGGCAAAAGTAGAAAGGCATGTAACTGTAGAAACTGCCTGTAGCAAATGTAGTTGTCTTCTAATGGTCTGGGGGGCTGCTTTTTTCTTTTTGTTAAGGTTTAGGYTATTCAGACCATGCAGGTTGTAAGAGTGTTTTGTATGCAGTTTCATGTGTTGCATAGTCCTTAACTGAGTCCAGCCAAAGATGAGGTAACATTTGAAGAAGGTTTTCTTACATTTCTGGAATGAACAAGTCACAGTAACAACAGAAATGTGTYATCTCTCTCCCTTTGTATGCCTGCATGGTTGTTGCTGCTGAAGTTCCTCCTGTGCACAGTGACCATCTTGCTCATCACACTGCAGTTCTAGTCCAACCATTCCATAGAGCTCAATGCTTTAGTGCTTCCCATAAAGGATGGGCTTGTCCCTCTGTGTGAATGCATGCAAGTACAGCCRTCAGCACAGTGCCACCAATGGCAATAACCAGTCTTGTTAATGCTCCCAACCTTTCTCGCTACTACAAACTATRGCTACAAAATCCCTGTGAATAATATCATATGGAACTAGTCAAAACCCACCGTATAAATGGATTAAAAAGAAAGTCCCATTACTATTAATTTGCTTGAGAAATTTCCCCTACAATTTCGAAGAAATTATTGTTCTCTTGATGCAAAAGATGACTTAGGCACTCAGGGTGTRTTTGATCATAGAAACAGGCAAAGCCCCTCTGAAGAAGCTGCGGGAAATGCAACCTCTTCCAAGTCAGGARCTGCTCAGTGATCTTCTGATGGAGCTTGGGATTCCTCTTTTGGAGGAAAAACAACCAACTCTTTCATTTCATTCTCCTGGTGGCCAGCAGCRTGAGCATGAGCCTCATAAGGTTCACATGGGCAGCAACAGACTTCTCCTTTCCTGCTCTTCTGCAGGACAGTAGCACGGAAGTCTAACGATATCACTGCCAGACGATACAACTGTAGAGTCACAACTAAGATATTCTTAGCTGTAAAAAATACCAGCATCTGATTGAATATTCTGAAGTGGCCCATCAGAATTGAACGCACGATGAAGAAGGGGCCGTCCTGGATGAAAAGGCTGACCCCAATGTTCCAGAGTTCTGCGCTGTACCTGCACAGCAGCAGGCTGGGGATCCGCCTGGCCGATGTGCTTGGTTTGCAGCCAATATGCTGTACTGGAAGTAAAACAGTTATGTTAAAACAACTTCGTGAAATGGAGCCAGGGTTGGCCTAAAGGGCACTCGCAATACAGGGTACCCTGGATTACAAACGCATTCGAGTGTGAGCTATGCAACACACAGCATATCCAATTTCTGGGATGTTTTTCAGCAAAATGCACTAAACTCATCTGAAGTACTTATGTAGTCTGGCAAACAGGACTAAAAACCATTTCCCCTTTTGTATCCCTCCAACACACTAGTATTTACACATTTCTAAAACAAGAAGCAGAAACAGATCACCTAATGATGCTCCACARCTTCCCCAGATTTTTTTTTTCAATAAATCAACATGCTGAACTAGTATGCATTCTTAATAAAAAAACCAACTGTGCTGAATAGGAACAGCCAGTGCTGTAGCACTTTGAACCAACTTCAAGTTTGTTCCAGRCTCTCTAAGACCTTGCTTTTAAAAGATTCACCAGATAGCCATTGCCTTTTCCATGTGCCATGGTAAGAATAAGTCCTGTCAGTAAATATTGACATTATGCAGTTTCTATTTGCCACAAGGCCCAGCTATTTGTTCTTATTCTTGTGGGTTTCAATTGCATGTAACTGTTGGAACCTGTTGGTTCCCCTCAGCTGTAAAGGGGGTGGTGGGTGCTCTCTGTGGTGAAGTGCCCAGAGAGGGACCATCACAAGGGGATAAATACGACTGATTGTCTCTCTGGAAAATGCACAAAGCTTAATTAACCTGTCTCTTGGACAGGGAAATCTCATTGGGTTAAAAACATTGCAACTTGTGATGCAGTAGCAACCACCAAACACTGCAACTTGCCAAAACAATTCTATTGTTTGAGTCAGTGCTGGGGTGGGGGGAGAAACAGATGAGACTCAAATGGAAAATGAGTTGTAAAATGTAGAAATTTGCTGAATCCATTAGGCAAAGCTTCAGCACCAGCTAATTTTTTAATATGCTTCTGTGCCATTTCTGTTTAATAGTACTAACTGCACTGCTGTAGTCTAATCATAAATACCTAAAAACTTCTTTTGCGTCATGTTTGATGTGTGAGTAAACATTCTGATGCTTGCAACTGGATAGAGCTGCCTAAAATAAACTGTACCCAGAGTAATTTCAGAAAATTTGTGTTCAGTAAYTCAATTTTTAACTAGTAAAAGTAATTAAATAAGTGGAAAAGCAACAGCTAGAGGAAAAAAATGAACAGATTGTTTAAGTGCTATTTGAATTTGTTTGGGTGATGGTGATGTGTATAGGATATTTTTTGTTTGGCTGGTTGAGATTTTTTTAAACCTGAGTGCTGTGCATCTTTAATAGAATCCATTTTGCCTGTAGTAGGAATTTTTGCTGCGATAAATCTGAAATGTGATTGCATCAGATTTTTAGGATGTGAGCTGCTGAGCTGAAATGCTGAAATATTTTCATAAATTCACTGTTGAAAACAAAGCTTAGCCCTGTCCATGAAGAAAAGACTAATGAATAAAGTAACAAAACTATATTCCAGCAGTTTTTAATTTATTGTTTTAGTCAGTGTGTCAACCTAGAAATCTATTTTGTATAAGATGCTAGTGAGGATAGTGCATCTTTGGACTGCTATAATTGCAAACTTGTARTGATTGAAGGGTAGAATGGTTGGAACAGCTGATGATCCAGACAGCTTTCATTGCTCTTCTTGGGCAGGGAGAAGCCCATTCTGCACAGGGACACAAACAGCCCTGAGCTGGCTGAATACCCGAGCCTTTGAGATTAAGATGAGGGTGTGGTGCCAACATCATATGGTCCTTTAGGTTTCCTGTRGGTCGGTAATTTCTCATGTGATAATATCCCTGTGCTTTTGGCTGTGCTGTTTTCTGCCTGTCTCTCTGTAGGGTCTAATAACCCACCCAAATTCGAGAAGAATAAAATAGACTAGATCTAACTTGAGAGCTCACATAGTGATTTTTATGGTAGTAACAATCAACTGGAGCAATACTACAGTACAATCCTTTTCTCCTTTCCCTGAAAGTAGAGAGCTTTATCAGAAAAATCAGAGGTTAGCTAGAAACAAGTGCTTCCCCAAAAGAAACCACAATGAGCTTYCTTCGAAAGTTGTCATCATGTAAATTCTTCTCCACTGGAAGTCCTTGGTATAGCCTGTAGTGTGTGCAGAGTCACAAGATGTWCCAGCAAAAACTTAAGAGTGTTTTGTCTATGTGCAAGTACTAACCTGCAAGATCAAGTGGGAATTGTAACATACTCCAGGTCCACACAGCAAGAATTGCATTTATGAGAGCGTAGTTCTTCCTATGGGGGGAGAAAGTGATAACAATGAAGATTTCCTTATTTGATCACAAAAATGCTTCCTGTAGTGCTTGGAATGTCATTTTTAGGGTAGTTGAGTGAAGCAGCGGTTGATTGATGTGTGCTTTTGAGATGCAACACTAAGGAAAACAGAGGCACCTTTTCGTATGGAATTTTTGCTGTTCAGGCTCATGTGTTCCAGCTGTGTAATTTCACTAAATATCTGAAGCACATGTTAYACTAATAGGCATATGGGAATAGACTGTGGCTCAGCACAGATATCTTTACCCTTGTAGGGATTACACATTCCTAGCAAGCCTGAAGCTTCTCTGCCAAGTGGGAAGGACTCTTTTCCTGCTCTAAAAGCATTGCTATGATATTAAAAAATTAACATAGGCTTTGTTTGAGAGGATGAACCTCTTCTGTGACTCWTTCTTTATGATGAATGCTCACAGCTCATCTCTCAGTGCTGTGAGGGAGAGGTGAGCTTACTTTCTCTGGGAGAGATCAGTGTTGAAAATTCACACCAGACTGTGCCATTCCCTTTCTTCTTCAAATACTATGTCATTCTGCCATATAGTACACATGAGCTAACCAAAGCAGCAACTTGGATAATGAATCACTTAGGCCAGTTCTAGTTGCTTCCTCACCAGTCTAAAGCAATTCATTAACCTGAAGGAGCTCACTGTGTATCCAGTGTTTGAGCTCCTGTAGCTGTAAGAGCTGATGCTGCTGGCAGTCAGGCTGCTTGTTTGGCTCTCTGAACCCTTTTATTGTGATGATGTGACACATTTCTCTGCTGGCAACACRCGAGTAATCTCTAACAAATCTCCCATGGCTTTGGCCTTTCACAGAACAGAGGCAAGAGCAGGCAGAGCCCTGGAACACAGCCTTCTGTTTTCTGTGGGAAACACAGTTTCACCAGTRTGAAAACTGCACATTGTACAAATATCTTGCACCGTGCAAGTTATTTACGTCAGCAAAAARTCCTTACCGAACATCCTCAATGTCCAAGGTTTCACTAGCAAATTCAAGTATATCTGCTGCTGTTCCCACAAACATGAGAAGCAGCTGAGACAGTTGATCCCGGGTGATTTCAACTCCAATGGGGAGAAGCCATCTCCCGACTACTAGCAGCAGCAGAAATGTCTGGTGGAGGGCCARTGTCCATACAGTCTCACAGATTGTGGAGAGCTGATTGACAAAGACTTTAGCCTGTTCAAAAGACAACAATAATATACTGTAACTTCAGGGACTGATGTTAGASGTACCTTCAGAGACCGTATTTGTCCTTGTGCCTGCTTTYGTTCTCTTTCACATTGTATGAGAGCAAGTAATTTCTATCTGKTGGGTGCAGTTTGAAATACTTTGATACAAACTTTTGTATTACTTTTGTATTTTGTATTACTTTTGAAATACTTTAATACAAACTTTGGATAATGAATATCAAGTCTTTATGTACTACTCCTCTGTTCTCATTTTTCAGCTGAGCTTTATTACCCAGACACTTTCTAAATTCAGTTACTGAGATTTGCAAGAGAATGGTGGAGCATACACAGAGACTTGTCTTGGCATCAATAGCTAATATGCAGCGTGCTATATTTTCACATTGTGGTATTTCAAAACTATATATACATAAAAAATATATAGGTTTTGGAAGTTGTTTTTTTTTACTCTCTATGCAAGATGCTTATCTTTAACTATGACAAGATCTCTACTAGAAACAGGAAAAGGTGTCCCACCGTCTGTATGATGTGGTGATCTGTTCCCTCACTTCCACTGTTGTCTCTGGATTGATTGAAGTCTTGGTTGCTGATGTTCACCTGAACTGCCCCAGGCTCATTGCCACAGTACTGTTGTGAACAAAAACACATGTGTGTGAACATCCACACAGGGAGCAGATGTGTTCTGTGGCTGAGTATTCTGTTTTGTTCCACTGTGGAAGACATCCAGTGTTTGCAAAGGCCCTCGCTCTGAATGTAATTCCCCCCTTCTTCAGAAGGGACAAATTCCTCTCATGAGGACAAGAGTGATGTGTTGGTAGGTCACTGAGAAAGTACAGGATTGTACTGCAGAGRAGGATGCAAATTCAAAAGCCAATGGAGTGGGTGACGCATCTCTGTGCTGTTAAGTCTGTACCCTTTGAATGTGATCTGCTTGCAGCTCTCCTGAACTGACTGCTGGGTTCTCTACATGGTCTCTCTTTGGCTAAAACAGTCAAATAAGGTAAAAATCGGTCATGATCAGTCTGATGTGTTATGTTCATAGTGAGGCTCTATATTCAAACTTGTTCTGGAAGTACCTACTTCTCTATTCTACTATCCAGAAAAATCCCCTATCCTGAAAATGCCACTGTATCAGTTTTCTGTAGGACTTCCCTCAAGGCTGAAAAAAAGTGGGGGTAGGATATTTGAGTCGTATTCTCCACTCCTGCCCCTGCGCTGTGCCTTATTTTGTAAGGATTCATAGGGTGAGAGGTGAAATACAGTATTTAAGAGAAATAGACCTGTATTGTTGCTAATCCCTCCAAAACAGAAAGAAGGGTATTTACTTTCTCCAAGAACCCAGTGATCTGGGAAGCTGAGTGTTGGCTAAAACATACGGTTACTCCAATAAATGATGGTGGGRCTCTGTTCTGTCTGCAGCACTGTCCTGCCCTTCTGCTTTCACACCCAATGCTGCTCCAGGAGCATCTGGGGGGCATRGCTCCAAAAATCTATCCTCATAACAGTCCCTTAACATCTCTCTTCATTGTAATAAAAAGAGGATAATTAGAAAATCAAACCAGGCTGTTACTAAAGACTTTTATTCTGTCCTATTTTTGCCAGAGAGCTGCAGATGATTTGCATTTCTCCATTGGGCCCCCCACCATTTTATTGCGGGGATTGATTTTCTGCAACAATTGGAATGTGTGCGAGAGAATACTGAGTAGCTGTGTTCAATATAACACATGCCAATATAGGGGCAACATTTTCCAGCAAATTTCAGATTCTGCTTTGATACTTTGCTTGGTCTCTGATAATGCTGTTCAGTATCTGGGTAAATGCTGCCTCTTGTCTGACCTTATGGTAGATAAATTTCCTGTGACTTGAAAAATCTGGAAAAAATGTCTGTGCTTGTTGCTTTTATAGCTGGCGGGAAAGACTCCTAAGCTGAATGCTTGTTTTATTTGAGCAGTGGGTGTGAGAGTCTTGCAAGACTGACACACAGATGTGGGGAAGATGATATTTCCATTTAAAATAGTGAAGTCTAAAGTTCTGGGCATGGAAASAGTGAGATGGAGTGGCTGGTACTCTCTGCCTGGCTACTGCCTTGTAGGGCTAATCTCCCTGGGTTTGCCCTTGAACTAAAGAAGGAAGAGGGAACAGCTCGTTCAGAGAATGTTTTGGAAATGCAATTTAATTGGTGCTCTGGAGAGGTATCTCTATCTGTTGCCTATGGAAAAACCCTAAAGTGTATGGAGAGCCACCCCCAAGGTCAAAGTCAGGCTTTCTGAGTTATTTCCACAGGCTGTGTGACACAGTCAGCTGAGGAGATCGCAACCCAAAAATATTGCATAACTGTGCTAACCCCCCCAGAATGCTAAGAAGTGAACATCAATAAGTAGCCTGGGTAGGGCAAAGGGATGACTAACTTGTGCAGGAGGAGGAAGGCTAACTGACAGCCTTAGGTTTGTCATTAAGTCTGTATTTAAGCTCACCCCTCTGCCCCCTTGCCTGGTCTGGCATGGTGAGAGGAAAGCAGCTGTGAACCTATACAGAACTTCACATCCAAGTGAGGAGCTGCAGGACTCAGCAGCTCCACTGCTGGAGGGAGAGGAACCCGTACCATAGCTTGGAAAAGGGCTCTTGTTTCTTGCTCTAGTGGCACAAAGGTACAGGAAATACCTCGAAGAAAATTAATTCATGCTATTGGTGTCTTTTACAGGTTCCTTACATGTCATTTTGGTGAGTACTTGTGGCTGAGAAGTGGGTTGCCATTTCAGAGCAAGGCTCCACAATGTTGGATGGAACGGMACGTTCAGGGCCAGTCCATAGCTCCTCTCAGTTGCTCACAGGCAGCAAATGGAAATCTGCATCTGCAAAGCCAGCCATGTAAGTAGGCTCCTGGCTTTTTTCACTGAAGTATGTTCATAGCTTGTTTGGGTTTGTTCGTCTCTGAATATTTATTAAGTGGTGATTGTGAAGTGATTCACTTGAAAATTTGGAGAAGAGCCTTTATTTTCATCATGGATATGCATGTAAATAGGGTTGTTGGTGCCAGGCATATTTACCTAGTGAGTTATGGATGTGCAGTGACTTAATGGGAATGTGACAAGGAGAAAGTGAATACTGTTCAACTGTTCCACAGGCATTTGATAAACATGGTTTGCCTTTTTACTACCAGAGTCCAATTACTCCTTGATTGCGTACCTAGCTAAATAAAAATTGTTTTGTTTYATGATTTTTTTCCTAATGCAAAGATAAAATAGGAAGAAGCTGTACACATTTTGTATCCATTCTAGTTTGGTTTACTTTCRTTTCTTCCAAGATGAAGCTTATAGAGTTTTGATTAATAAACCATCTAATCAAAACAGAAATGCTGTTGCATCACATAGGGCTGTCCCAGTGTGACCTGCAGAGAAGCTCACTGTCAGTGCATGGGGGACACCTGAAACACCAAACTAATTGAGCCAATTTCTGTTTGCACCTTTTTCACAATCTGTTATTATCAAACTGAGATTCACCAGAACTTTTCATAATGGGGCCAGCATTGGGGTGTAAAATGGACACTTGAATATTATTATAGGGTGGAGTATCCTCAACCTGTTAATGTGCATGGAGGCTGTCAGGCTGAGGACATTTTGGAAAAGACAAGCCCTTCCCTGGAGGAAGCCCTCTGCCAAGCAACAGGTACCTGTCTTGCTGTCTGGGATTTGCTGCAAACAGTGTGGCTGTCACTATGGAAACACGTGTGATGTCAGAAATTCAAAGCACTCCTGACTGCTTCATTTTGCTCATACAGGAAAGCTGAAATGTAAAGCAGGAAGAAAAGATTGCCTAAATTGTTTTCCAAATTGAGGAACATAATGGGTATGGCAAAGAAGAAATGGTGAAAGATGTAAGATCACTTTGTGGAGTTCATCATGCTATAATTGCTATAATGCTGGTAGGAAAATCTCACCTCAGAATGAGGAATGGACAGTAATATCTGCTATATCCTCAAAACGTTCTAGTAAGGCGGTTAAAAATAATTACAAAGTTTACCAACTCCTTGTCTTATTCCTGACTGGAAGCCTGCATTGCTGGAAGCCCTAGCAGTCAGGTAAGGCCTGCAAAAGGTGGTCAGTTAGTGCTTTCTGTGGCACTGCCACATCAGGCATTTGACAAGGTAACAGAGGGTTGAGATCCTGTACGTTATTAAGAAAGTACATTTGAGTTTTTTAATGGATTAAATGGTTTTAGTTTTCTTGACAGCAGACAGCAATGTTTTCTCTCTGTACAGTTCAATTGACTTTATCACCTGTCCCAAACATATTTCATCCCAAATACTTCTCCACAAAGCAGYAGTTTCTATGCAGTCAGTATTTCACTAGTATTTTACTCTAGATATATGAATGGTATTACTGCTGTCCAGTTCTGCAGTACATAGAGAGGCAGAATTTTCTCTGCCCATTAGCACCTGCTTTAAATAACAGCACTGACACGAGCAGCTGGTCCTTCCTGGTAAAGATTTAACAAGAGATCAAAGTTCCATTGCCTAAAAGACCACACACTGTTCTCATAGCGTATATGTTAAAAGTGTGGATCTAGCAACTGTGTAATTACCCATTCTGTTAGCATTTAAATAATGAAAATGCCAGGAATGCTTCCGTATTGAGAGTATAACTAGTCTGGGTGCTGGGTTTGAGATGAATTGTGAGGATATCTGCTCCCATTCTGTAGGTATTGTTTTTGAATCTGTTAGATTGTGTGTTTCCAGAACTCTCTATCCTATCTCTCCAGGTATAAACTAAGCTGTTAACTTGATAWACTCCCTCTTTAATTCACAGTAGCGGTATATCAATAAGAACAAAGTATGCCATGTTCTAAAATCATTTKGGGAAATAAACTGCTGCCTTTGACTACAGAATTAGCCTATTTCTTGGACCAGATTTAACTATGACAAATGTTCTCAATATCCACATTACCTGTCTGTGACTGTTTAAGGAGATTTGGGAAAACAAGAAGACAATAAATTCCTGCTGCTGTATTTAGAAAAAGCCTCAGGCATTTTCAGTGTAAACACAATTTTGAATATTTGATTATGCTTCTGTGGGCTCTAACAATGTTTCAAAGGAGAAAATGAGGCASTAGGTCTTCTTAGTCTAATTTATGTATTTTCTTCTGTTACTTTTTGTTCTTGTTCCAGTCAGAACCTTTACTGCTATGGGTGTAAGGCACTGCATGTGTGCAAATACTGGGACAGGCCATTTCCTGTTCACTACATAAAAGTGCCTTGAAATTATCCTGCATGAGGAGGTGGTCGACTCAGTGGGACTGTTGGGCTAAGTGGCTCTGTTCTGGCCCTAACTGACCCCAGAACATTTGCCCTAAAAAATTTTACCATGTGTTTTCATCCTGAATTGGAATCCAGACACTGCCCCCTTCCTAGATTACTATGCAGCACAAAGAAAGGAAGGATATAAACCCTGACAGTCATGTTATCAGCTGGGGTAACAGGCTGTGAGTGTTCTCCTGTGTTGCAGCAAACATGAGGTAACCWGAGCTGAAGACCCCTCTCAGTGATACATGTCTCAGTTTTTACTTGCTGGGAGTTGTGGTATTTGCTTTTAAGCACTGAGAAACTCACTTTGCTTTRGAGACCTTTGTAAAATAACGACGTTCTTTTACCCTACTGAGCAAGATTCATGCTGGTAACCTGGGGGTGAAAGGCTGTGTTTTTCAAACTTCTYGTCCTCAGTTCCCCAGATAAATATAAATAAATGGACTCGTTTTTAGTTAAGGAAGAGCCTCATTATTTGATAATTAGGAAGTGCACAATAGTCATAATATAGCTGTAGCAAGATTGAGATACCCACCAATGTAAAAGAGAGAACTGGAACAAGACTTGGCAGGATTCTGTCTGCATGCCCAAAGCCAACCCATCAAATAATGTATCAATTGCAAACTAGTCCATCTTGTCTCATAATAAATACCTGAGTCCCATGATGAATTTCTAGTAGCCATAGTGATGGTACTATGCAAATCAGATATAAAAATATTGCTGGTGAAAACCTGTGAAGGAAAAGAAAAGWTATCTTGGTATTATGACACATCATAAATAGTTTTCAATGTAGATAATGTTTGGCTGTATGGTMTCTTGTGCCTCTACCAAATGGGATATTAAGAAATAGGATAACTTCAAATAAGAATTGCCATTCTTGCTGCATGACCTGTGCTGTGTCWGTATTATAAATAATAGGTTTATCTGCACATCCATCTAAGGTCACATACATGGAAGTTTATTTAAAATCTCTTTTTAAGAACTAACCAAAGGAATTTTGCTGTTTGTATTTCTATCACAGCAGTCTTTGTACTTAACAAGCCTCTGGCTAGCAGGGTCTTTCTGATTTCATGAAGAGTGAATTAATACATTGAGTCACTTCACTGAGTGATGCTGAAATAAAGGCTGTTGCTCCCAATGCTGTGCATTGACACAGGAAAGGCAGAAATAGCATCAGTTTGCCTAAAACAAGCATTGCTTGTAGGGGATCTTTTAGTTGCAGGCTGTGCACTTAAAATGGGCTTATGGAAATGGGTCTTGGCCTTGTTTCCCCATTTGTGCTGTCAGTTGTAGAATTTTTTAGTTCTTCCTTCCCTGCCAGTTTCTATATAATTTATGTTGATGAAGTTTTATTTTCTTCAGCTTCTTTAGCTGGTTTTATTCAGAAGTAATTGAGAGATTTCACGACTCCTTCTGCAAGCACTGATTCTTGTGAGAGTTGCTGATGTTTTCTTATTAAGCACATGGCATTTGATTGGGGTGGGGTTTTTTGGCAATTCTGTGCTTTTGGAGTAGGAATGAGGTGCGATGCCACAAATGTTCCATTCCATCTGGCTCTGCCACGGTGTTCAGTGGGCACTGCCACAACGCCCCAGGACCAGGGAGTAGCAGCAAACTTGGGACATTTGCTTGATTCCTTCTATCCTGCCACTGGCACCTTCACAGTGAATTTAAGCTGCTTATAAGTATGCAACTGCAGCAACATTTTGGGTCAAATGTTRTTGAATTTACTGTCTGTTCCTATGTGGAATGTACCTTTTTTTTTGGTAGTCGTGACCTTTCCAGTGGAGATTAAGTACTGAGGAAAACAAAAAAGTCCTGCTGCTTAGGGAAATGATTGGGCTGCTGAATTGCTCTGAAATGTTTCAGACAATCCCCTCCAAGACGGTCTGGTTTTGGGTTTTCATTTTGGGTTTTTTGTTTGTTTTGCAGGGTTGGGGGGGTGTTATTTGTTTTGGCAGTGGGGTTTTTTGTTGTTGGCTTAAAAAAAAAAGTTAGTGATTCTGCGGGTTTTTAGCCTGGTTATTTTGGGAGAGAATACACCTCTCATTTGAATGGAAGAACTAACATTTTACAGTATTTCCTGWAGGACTTGAGCACATGAAAAATCCATCCAGCTGGCAGGTTAGCCATACTGASCTAATGATACCAGATCAGGCCAAGAGACTTCAGGGGCTTTAACCCTGCCTGCCTTTCAGAAGGAACAATCTAGAGGAACTATTGCATGGCCAGGCTTACAAGGAGACTTATCCTCTACATGTGCCATTTATTGTTTAGTGCTGKTGTGATAAGTAACAGTCCTCTGTCAATAATTAACAGAGAACACAAGGGTGTTGGAGGCTGGAGTCCTGCTGCAGAGTCTGCCCCTTGCTTGGATCGGTGCTATTTGTGGAGGTGTTTCTACAAAGGCTGATGATACCTGCTCTGAATGTGACTGTTTTCCACTGGAGCAGAAAATTATCCTGATGCAAATAGATGCTGGCTATTTGTCTGCTCTCACCTATAAACACACTTCAATTTTGCTGCCTAAAGTGCTGGACCACATCCTTTCTCAAAATTTTCTTCTAGATAAATTTGGCCCAGGCTTCTGTGTATTCATCTAGCACGAATCTGCTTTCTTATCTATTTTTGTTTGGATTTTTCAAAAGCTGCTATTGCAAATGTCCTTTCATRAAGATTCTGCTGTTGCCTCCTCTCCCAAATGGGTCTGTTCAATCTTTATAACTGCATTTGGGGCTCTGCTGTTGTTCCATTTTCCAGTGTTCCGGAATTTATCACTCTTTTTATTACATTCAAATTTAGAGCATGGAACACTTGTGTGAACTGTCACACAACACACTTCTGTTATAATGACTTTCACAGGTTGCAATTGGCAGGATTTTAAGAACATGGAAATACTTTAGGGCTCTTTAGTCCTGGATTTGTCTCAGGGCCTGCCTGCAGTTTGAGTTTATAACAACAAAAGGTCCTAGTGAAATCCTGACCATTAGTTACATGACCGCTTTCTTTTCACAGAGCATTTTGTTTTGGCTGCCTGAGCGCTGATGAGCTGTAGATGACAGCAGCAATTCTTTAGATGCATGTAAAACCCCATGTGCTTGGGCAAGCTCTGCGATGACTAACTTTTTTGTTCATTTTTCAGGCAGYCTTTCACGCATGAAAGTTCCCCTCTGGAACAGCCTCTCAAATCCAAAAACTTAAGCCACTCTTGCTGTATCAAAAGAATGGTTGCTATTCATTTTTCATTTTTTACCGAGTTTAAGTCCACACGCTGGTGTGGCGTTAGCACTGTTGCATGGAGAAGGGGAATACAGAGCAAGGGAGGGTGTGAGTGAGATGCAGGGCATTTGCAGGGTCCCCCCGCACCCCTGTGTCCCTGAAGCGCTCAGCCCCGACCCGCTGTGGCTCAGGAGCTGCCCCGGTGCCCCCAGCCCCCTGCAGCCGCAGCCGCACAGCATCCACCTCCTGCCTGCAGCCACACACACACAAGCACAGAGTGGCTCCCGCCTGGGCTGCTGTACAGCTGCCCCTCCTGAAAGCGCTGCATTTGGCAGGAGACTATCCAAAYTCTACCAGCTTTCCATCCCTGCCTCCCAGGAGCAGCGGGGAGCAGACAAGATCCCTGCACGCCGGGCAGCGCCGGGCCGGGCAGCCCCTGCTCTCGGGGAGCAGCTTCGCATCTGCAGCCGAGTACATGCAAAGAAGCAAGCGGAGCTCCGGCGGAGTATGCTCACCATTTGTAGCCTCTSCCTTGCTTAAACTTGAGGGTGAGCCCTGTCTCCAGGCACAGGAGGAGATTGAGCAGTGCCAGCAGCCAGTACTTGGGTTCTTTCTTCACGGCAGTCACTCTCCAGACCCCGATGAGGGAGTGCAACACGAAGAGCAGGCGGGTTACCAGGGCATTGAGCAGCACCATCAGCTCCATGCCGGAGCAGCCCCCTCCCTGCGCCCCGCACTGCGGGGTCCGGCTCTTTCAGGAGCCCGGCTCTTTTAGGAACCCGGCTCTTTCAGGAGCCCGGCTCTTTTAGGAGCCCTGGCAAGTCACTCTGCGAGTCACAGGCAAGCCTGCGCCTCGCCGGCACACCGATCTCTTCTCCTCATCCATCTCCACAAAGGGGCCCATTATAACAAAAAAGAAACGGCATCGCCCCTCCCCCAGACTTCCTGAAAACTTTTTAAAGGGAAGAAAAAAAAAAAAAATGCTTCCATGCTGCAGTGGTTTGCAGGCTCGGAACAGCCTTGGCCGGCCCAAGGCAGGGGTGGGGAGATTGTTTCTGTCCAGTCTATCATCGGCTCAAGGACCAAGCACTGGGAGGTTTTTCCCTCTCGCCCAGTTACCATCACTGTGCAGCCCCTCTTGCTGCTCTCGCCTCGTACACAATGTAAGGCACGTTATTAATTTGAAGATTTTAGCTGGAAGCTCCACTTCATTATTGCGAGTGCAAGCCAAGCCCCTCTTTCTGCTCCCCCTGAAAGAGAATTCATATTTGGGAGCTTGTAAATTYGTTTGTTTAACATTGCAATATCGAAAGCAGAAACTGTATGCTGTGTTCAATACTGAAGTCCCTTGTGCAGCCAGAGTCACAAAGTGAAATTTAGTCAAACCACTCTGTTGTATGATACASACCCTCCTTCAGGACCAAGACACAGGCCAGGTGCAGAGCTCCAAAAACAGGGATCAAAACTGGGCTGGCACTAATATTGCTGGATTGGTTAACAGAGGCATATACCAAAAATGCACGAAAGTTTGACTGTTACCTTAGACTGACATTTTGTATCCTCTGGGAACATTGTATGAAGTGCATGGTATGTTTTAAAATTTCCTTAATGYTTTTCATAGAGATTATACATTTTATTTCAATTTACACTTGAGCAAAATTGTCACTGTGGTTTTGTGTTAATTTACTACCAAAGTGCTTAAATTGAGATAGACCATTGTAAAATGCAAATGGAGAATCAAGTCCAGGTAAAGTACTGTGGTGTTTCAGGGGTCCTAACTTCCTAGATTTATTTTTTTTTAAATCCTGTTCTAATTAAACACGAGAATATATTCTTTTAAGAGTTGTGACCTTTCTAAGAAGCTATTTTTCCTCAATTGCTGAGATCCAAGTTTTCCTTACTGCAAAGCCAAGCTTCTTCCTTTATGAAGTGCTGGTGCTGGCAGCTGATATCCTTGGGGGTGGGGGGATAACAGCAAAGAAGACTACTTTACTTTAACCCTGCCCAGTGAAAAAAAAACCAAAACAAAAGTCCATTCCACAGCAGAGATCACTCATTTGGGAAATGCCTGAGTAAATAAATGAACTGTGTAGCTTGCCTTTTCGAAGGAACAAAATCAAGCTCCTCATGCTCAGAGGAAAATGAATTCAAGTCAAGGACCTACTATTGATAATCYCCTGCCAACAGCCACCCTGCCATACCATGCCTTAAGTGCTGCTGGTTCACAGACCTTCCGTTGGCGTTCAGGTCAAATGTAGCAGAAGAGGAAATGGGGAACAGACAGATTCAARAGATTGTTTAAACAAGATATTCCTCTGTGGGAGTGCTTAATGTCGAACAAATGACTCARGGGAACTGGTATGTCTGATTGTGGCTGGAGATCCTAACAGGGCAGATGTCACAAAACTTGGRAAGATGTTGATCAGTGGGACATTTCCATGACACCATGCTCAGGAAGGATGCAGAGAGCTTTGCTGTGAGCCAAGTAATTCTGCATCTAATATTAAAGACACTTGGGAGCTGAACTGTTTAACAAGGTAGTTTCATCAATGAATAATCCTAACTTTGCATCAGTTAATGTCCCAAACTTGAGGAAGAAGATATAATAYTGACTCTGCCAACTCAGTGGTGGACCATGATGGCAACACAACAGCCTAAGCAGAGGGGGGAAGAAAGTACTCATGGACACCTTCCTTTCTTTGTCCTGGAAGAGGCAAATATTGCATCCAGACTTGACAGAGTGCATTTTTAGATATTTCAGTGACTGTTTCGTGGAGCAGCTGGTTCAGGAGCCCATGAGGGCAGTGCTTGACTTGAATCCTGAGTGGTTTATGGGATATGATGTAGGGAGCAACAGCTAAAGGGATCCCCTGAAAAAGGGTATATTAATGTGCTTAGATTCAGCATCCTTGCAGCAGTGAGACAAGCCAGAGTTCTCTACCATTGCTCTGCTCAGCTTCAAAAAGGAAAAATAGACACAGATCAGTAGGCATGTGGAAAGTAAGACAGATGGAACACCTAACTCTTYGCAGGGAGTGTGGATATTGCTTCCGTAAATCACATGGGAAGTGCAAAGATAATAACTGTGCATCAAGGGAAACTTGAGAAAGAGTGAGAAGAAGCCAGCATTGGCAGGCAAAGTGAGATTGCAGGAGCAAGGCAGCCTTCAAAAAGCTGAAGTGCTGTCCAGCTGAAGAAAACTGGAAAGATGATAAACTCCGGCATGGACAAACATGATAAGGCTGACTGAAGGAGTGTGAGGGACAATTAGCAAAAGACATAGAAACTAAAATATCTGTTATCTGTTCAAACATGTCACGACTAGGAAGTCTGCCAGGGAATTGTTCGGTCAGTGGATGGTCAGGTGGTAAAAGCAGGGTTTTTGTAGAGTGATTCTTTTTTCTCTATGACTCTGTATGTGCTAGTGTTCCACCAATTCAATTCTTTTCATAGTTTCCACTGATTTGCAGCTTACAGTTGTCAGACTAATTAAWCATGGGCTAGAGAGTACTTGAGGGAGGAACTTTGTTTACCTTGGTTTTGTACTCTTTCCCTGCAGATGGAGATAAATCTACTTTTGGTTTCAGGCAGTGGAGTATATGGACCTTTGCTSTGACCCAAAATGGCTGCATTAGTAGACACTTTCTCATCTCTGAAGAAATTTGAGTGGGTTGTAGTGTTGGTTGGATCCAAGCTGAAAGCAAGACTCTTGTCAGTATAGAGTGCTCTACTAGTGATACACCCTCTTTCCTGTCTTTTTTTCTTTCT